TTCAAAGTCAAAAGGAACTTGTACGTGTATTCATGCGAAAATCGTATCTGTATACGGGGATTTCTAAATTATCTTCTATACTTAGCATTACCCAGAGACAACGACGTGGACGTGGTAGAATTCTGCCTCTTTCGGGGTGCTTGTTTAGAGTGAGTCCCCTTGCCTCTCACTATGCATACTTTGCTATTGTTAATCTAGCTATTCAAAAGGTTTTCGAAAGTTGCACCGTTAGCATTTATGCAATAATTGAGCCTTCTTTGGAAATGGGCCACTGTGCTGAGCAAGACATTTCGTGGAATCGCTTCGTCTTATGCGATTTTCCATATCTTCTCTTGTTGTTGGTTCTTCTTTGAAAACAACTTCTTTCAAATAGCCCCAGAGATAAAAATCGAGTGACGTCAAATCAGGAGAACGAGGAGGCCATGCAATCGGACCCTCTCGACCAATCCATCGGTTCGGGTACCTTTCATCTAAAAACCTCCTGACTATACGTGCAAAGTGCGGTGGTGCACCATCCTGTTGGAAGAACATCCTTCTCCTGGTTTCCAAGTCTACGTTCTCCAACAAATGAGGCAATTGGTCTGTGAGCAAATCGAGGTACGTATTTGCATTCACAGTACGTTCGAAAAAGAATGGACCGACCAAGTATCCATTAACAATCAACACCGCTGGAGCCTCAATGTCTGGTGCGGGATTGTTAATGGATACTTGGTCGGTCCATTCTTTTTCGAACGTACTGTGAATGCAAAGACGTACTTCGATTTGCTCACAGACCAATTGCCTCATTTGTTGGAGAACGTAGACTTGGAAACCAGGCGAAGGATGTTTTTCCAACAGGATGGTGCACCACCGCACTTTGCACGTATAGTCAGGAGGTTTTTAGATGAAAGGTATCCGAACCGATGGATTGGTCGAGAGGGTCCGATTGCATGGCCTCCTCGTTCTCCTGATTTGACGTCACTCGATTTTTATCTCTGGGGCTATTTGAAAGAAGTTGTTTTCAAAGAAGAACCAACAACAAGAGAAGATATGGAAAATCGCATAAGACGAAGCGATTCCACGAAATGTCATGCTCAGCACAGTGGCCCATTTCCAAAGAAGGCTCAATTATTGCATAAATGCTAACGGTGCAACTTTCGAAAACCTTTTGAATAGCTAGATTAACAATAGCAAAGTATGCATAGTGAGAGGCAAGGGGACTCACTCTAAACAAGCACCCCGAAAGAGGCAGAATTCTACCACGTCCACATCGTTGTCTCTGGGTAATGCTAAGTGTAGAAGATAATTTAGAAATCCCCGTATACAGATACGATTTTCGCATGAATACACGTACAAGTTCCTTTTGACTTTGAAATGACCTCAAAACATGACATTTGATCTTATCGATCATACCATATCCTATTCTAAAATTTCCCGCTCTTTCCAAATCCGGGGTCGAAAATAGGCAATTCTATTTAAAAAATGTTATTTGACCTTCAAATAACCCCTAAGGTCAAAGTCAAGGTCAAATTCAAGGATATGGTCATACGTCCCCCTCCTTGTCCAACAACTTTTGTATGAAACTTTTTTCATTATTTCGCTCACTGGTCGAATTATTCTCCATTAAAGGTTAAAATGGTCCACCCTGTATATATATATATATATATACAGGGTGTTTGATAGCTGATCATGCAGACGAAAGTTAAGGATAGATTGGGTGTAGTCGAGAAGAAAAGTCATGTACCATAATGTCAAATTGGCAACAGTTATCGAGTTATTAATTAAAACATGTGAGCCAACAAGCGCGTAGAGAGCGGAGGGCGGCCGCAGTAAGCACGTAGACATTTGATACAGGCGGAGTCAGTGAGTGGCGGTAGGCAAGCGCGCGCGGCGAGGGGCAACGTAAGCGACAAGAGGCGATCGCGCGCGACGAGGAGCGAGCGAGCTTTTTCTTTATAGCTTTTTCCTTATAGCTCGCTCGCTCCTCGTCGTTCGCGCTCGCTCGCTCTTCATCGCGCTCGCTCGCCTCTTATCGCTTGCGTTGCCCCTCGCCGCGCGCGCCTATCGCCACTCACTGACTCCGCCTGTATCAAATGTCTACGTGTTTACTGCGGCCGCCCTCCGCTCTCTACGCGCTCGTTGGTTCACATGTTTTAATTAATAACTCGGTAACTATTGCCAATTTGACATTATGGTACATGACTTTTCTTATCGGCTATATCCAATCTATTTCCAACTTTCGTCTACATGATCAGCTATTAAACACCCTGTATATGTATATATATGTATATATATATATGCTGTATTCGGCAATTTTCGTTTATTCGGCGCTTTTTCCTTCCTCATTTTCCTCGTTCGCGTGACTTTCGATACGCGATAACTCGCGGAGGAAAGTGAAACCTCGGTTTTCCATCGTGCGAATACGCGCGGGAAACATGCAAATGCGTCAATTGCACTGCTGATTAAGCGACAATTACCACGGCGAAGCTTGCTTCTTGCTGGATTAATAGAGACATCTGATACGAATCTGTATCTCGTCCGTGAATAATATATGACGGCAATAAAGAAGAAGAGACGCAAGGCATCTGTCATGTTTATGTAAATTATAAACATGACAAAGACCACGTACCTTATTTAGATGAACTCACGTGGATTTGGAGTCTCGGCGGCGCGGGCGGTCTCTGTGAGGTGCGGTGGCGTTTTCAGGGAAAAAGGAAGGAAAAAGAAACGAAGGAAGGCAGGAAGATAACACCATCGTCGAATGTGTACGCATCGTCGCGATCGCAATGACATTTTTGCGAGTGTGCCGCGCAAGGCACGTGGAGTCGATTCCGCAGTCGAAGCGAGCATAGAAAATAGCGCACGTGTAAGTAACGTAAAATTGCAACGGCGTATCTATTTCAGTTGTATTTTCGAATGCTGACTAACAAGGATAAAGATAAGGATAAAGATAATTACTCGGCTAAATGAGCCGGTCTGCGGCGAAGTGCAGATTTTCGAAGCCTCGCATTCGCAAAGTGTTTCGCGCACGGTTCGTACTCGCGCGCGCGGACGGCGATCGTCGTCGTCGTCGTCAGGGCAGAAGTGAAGTCGGTGCGAGAATCGAACGGAAGCGAGATCGGAAGTGAGACCCAATGTGAGCGAACGCGCTTCGGAAGCGATCGCGAGACCCGAGCGGCTCGCGCGGAGGCCGGCTGACTAATTGAATCGTAGCCGCTCGAGAGAGACGAGAAATGAGAATGCTGGTTAAGTCGTTCCTCCTAATAACTAAACCTTGGCCCCGAGTCAACAAATTTACGGTAATCAAGCCACTTGATGCACACGTGGAAACGCTGATGTGCATACCGTTCGACGTTCGGCGGTGTGTATTTTTAAGGGACCGACTTAATTGGGGTTAATGGAGAAATGCGCTACTGCGCTGCAGCGGTGCATTTACATGTGCAACAGTAAAGTGGAACGTGCGCGATGCTCCGACGTGGAGCCCAAGATGAGGCGCAGCGGCGCAGCAACCCCGCTCCCGGGCGGCGCGGAACCGCCGGAAGAATTGAATATTCGGCGGAATCCACGTTGGAGACCGTCGCGCGCTCGTATTTCAATTCCTACGTCGAATGCTTTCTCCGATCTTTCGATCCTCGAGTTACGTCCCTCCCATTGCCGTGTTTCCCCTTTTCGACGACGAGCGCAATCGGCCTTCCCGGCATCGGCCGATCGAGTCTTACTATCCTCGAGGAACCATTCGCGAGCATGAATTCTTCAATCATCCTCGTCAGAGATGACGATTTCACTCGAGCAGACAGAGAGAATATCTTTTCCATCGTTCCGTATCTTTCTCGTCGTTTCGCACTTCGAGCAACTGGCGCACCGCTGAGCTCGCTCCATTTAAGCGCAAATTTCACCGAGAAAAAATTCTACCCGTATCTCGACGGTCTTCATGGCCGACCCGTTTTCGGAAAACACTGGCTCCCGTCGTCTTAGCCATTGAACTGCAGGTTGCAGGTTGCAGTAGGGCCCCTTCCCAGGTACACGTTTTTCTACAGTCCTACGTAGAGGCGCATCTCGACAAGCGATGCTTGACGCCAGCATCCCTCCTCTGCTGTGGTGCAGTGCGGTGGCCACGGCTCGGAGAACACTGTCCAAAAGACTCTTTACTCGTCAGCTTTTGGTACGAGCTAAACGCGAGAGCACGAACAAGTGCATTTTCCAGATCGTAACTCGCAACGCGTATGTGTCTCTCCCGCTGCGTCAGAAGCGGGAGAGACACAGAGAGAGAGAGAGAGAGAGAGAGAGAGAGAGAGAGAGAGAGAGAGAGAGAGAAAGAGAGAGAAAGACAAGGGATGGAGAGAAAGAGGAAGAGGGGGAGGGAGATACTTCTCTCAAGCCGGCCGGATATCCGAGTTCGATTTCCGTAAGCACGAATTCGATATAGATTCTCATTAATCTACATGCTATTTAACCCTCGAGGCGAAGTAATCGGCGGCCGATCGTTCCCCGCTCTGTTCTGTTCGAAGATTCGCGGATAAAAATTGCACGTGTGCAGACGGGACGCGATTTCCAGAGGATCATCCTGACACTTGGCGGGAAGAGAGAAGGGGAAATGTCCGGCGGAGTGAAGTTTCGGCGGAGTTATAGAGAAGTTCAGTAGCGCGCGGTAACAGTGTTTCGCGCCGTAAATGATAACCGCGAGAAATGGCGAAAATGGAGGGCCATTTTCTCCGGAATGGAGAGTGGAATTTTGTCGACGCGACGCGCGAGCAAGTCCGCGCGGATAACGGCGAGCTCGGAGGTGTGTCGGAAGTCACGTGTCGATCGGCGCTAAAGAGAGAGAAAAGAGAAAGGTCAAGGGGTGTTTTATCGAGTATATTCGAGTTGCGACTTTGGCTTTTCTCTGAACGGAGCGAATAATCCGCCGCGCACATTCGATTGCCAAACGCTCATCTCTCATCGATACGTTCGCGATGCGATTCATTATTATTCCACGCCGTCAGCGGTCACCATCCGTGTTGTAGATCTTTCTGGACGGAATGCGGAAGAAAATGGAAATGGAAGCGAGCGAGAGTACTATGAAGAATACGAGAATCGACGAGTACGGTACGTTTTGCGACGTCGCGATTGCGCACGGCGATCGAGACGAACATTCGTTCGTCGCAAAATTACCGGCGCTTCACGTCGAGAGCTTTCGAGCGCGCGAGTACAATATGCAAATTCGGTAAGCCGTGACGAATGACGATCTACCCGCGCGTGTTCGTCCGCGCTCGGGCTCGGCGGACAATCGGCACGAAATCCGTGAAAAAACCCCCACTCTTATCCTGTGGCACACGTGCGTATAACAATGGCCGGCGAATAAATTACAGCGTTAAGTATGAAAGAGACGCATGAAAGGCGCAACACTGATCTCTCCGCGGCATCGCAGAGAAGAATGCCGATGTAAATTGGAGCGCCCGAGCGTTCAGCCGAAGGTTATTTTCTCGATATCTCGAGGTTAGCGTGCCCCCGTTTTATGGTCCCCGTGCACTGTCTAACATTTTTTTTTCCCACGAACTGGTTTCATCGTCATTTACCGCCGGCAAACGCCTGCGTCTCTCTTCAAGCGTCGCTCTTGTCATCGAATTGTCATCCGCAGCGCGATCGAGGACTAATCTCGGCGATGAAATACTCGCGAGCGCTGCGAGTCGCCGGCCGTCGAGTTTCGACTCTCTTAATTTCACAAAAAAGGGGGTAAAAAGTCGTAGTCGCGACAGGGCAAGGCTTTCCAGGTACATTCGCTAGCCGATGTCCGCGCTTGCGCAATTGCTAATTCACACGCACGTAATGATTGCCGCGAAGATGACAACGCGCGCGTGGAAAAGAGAAACGAAAGTAATAAAAGCGTGGAAATTTACCGTTGGACGAGCGGATACTAAGGTCGCCGTTTTCCACGGCGGTGTTGCGCGAGAAAGTCGAAATTAAGTCATCGATGGGTGATCACGTAACGTAATCGTAACGCACAGAAGACGCGATAAAAGAACGCCGTTGTGCGATAAAAGAACGCGAAGTGCCGTTTCGTTCAGCACTAACGATTCGTTATAATATTCACGAGGTAAGTGTCGCTTTGACATTTACGCTCTTCACGACAATCCGCTCGCTGCAGACTTGGCGCGATTTTCCCGATTCAAGCGAAGCCGAGGCGTGTTCTCGCTTTTGCTCCGGTATCGATGGAGATTGAAGTCACGGCAAAGACGCAAAGACACAACAGATCCAAGGGTTCATAATGAATAGGATCCAATATATTTAATTTATTATCCGGCTGACGCGAAAAGAACGTCCCTTTGGGTTGCAGCGAACGTGAACGTCAAACGAGTGTCCAATGGTAAGGACGAGCATGTAGACGCTGACGGGAACGTTGACGCCGTGCAGACCGCTATCGGCGACCTCGGCAGGTGGCAGATCTTCGTCTGCCTGGCGATATCCCTGGTGAAATTTCCGATAGCCTGGCATCAATTGGCGATCGTCTTCATGGCGCCGCAGCAGGATTATAATTGCACGGTGCCCGCCACCACGGATTCCGAAGACCAGTGCGCGGTTGATGTTAACAGCACGTTGGTCAAGTGCACGAAATGGATGTATGATCGAAGTATTTTTTCCGAGACCATCATCTCGCAGGTGAGCGCGAAGGATGACACTCGCGCGTCGCGAGTCGTGAAACTGCTCGGAGACGAGCGCTCGATTTTCGAAGTAAGGGGAAAAGAAAAGGGGAAAAAAATATCCACACGCGTGCTTGCACGCGCTCGCAGAGTTCGCACTCTCTCTCTCTCTCTCTCTCTCTCTCTCTCTCTCTCTCTCTCTCTCTCCCTCTCCCTCTCCCTCTCCCTCTCCCTCTCTCTCTTTCTGTGCGTGTCGCGAGCTGTATTTGCATTACACGGTAACGTAATTAACGGATGTTGCCGCGCTTTGTAGCGAAGCAATTACTGCGGGCGCTATTAGCACATTTCGCTGACAAAACAATTACGGAGCATTATCGTAAGAACGACGGTGAGCATTGTCGTTATTGCGAGGCTTATTTTCGTTGCAGTGGAATTTAGTCTGCGACCGGACTCACTACGCGAACATACAGCAGTCGATTCTCATGTTCGGCGTGCTGCTCGGTAACATAATCTTCGGCAGTTTGGCAGACAGGCAAGTGCATCGGTCACATCAGTTAGACGCATGTTGAATTAATAACCGCTTGCGAGGGCGCATGTACAATTAATAAATATCGCCGCCGACCTGGCCGATGTACTGCGACATGCCGAACAGGACCACTCCGCAAACAATCCAGTTGAAGAAGATCGACAGTGACTTGACACGCATGTTCGGCGTGCGAAACAGATCCAGAAACGAGGGCTTATGGTCCAACGCGGATTTCTTGAAATTCTGGAATTCAAGCGAATTGGGACGAATTAACGTGGACTGTATTAATAACCCTTGAATAAATTAAAAAGCGTTGAATTAATAAACACGCTGTTATTAAGAAGGGGTTAGGAGGGGAATGATGAGGTGGAGGAGGTGGAGGAGGTGGAGGAGGTGGAGGAGGAGGAGGAGGAGGAGGAGGCGGGTAGGAGAAGATCAAAAAGTACAGGTGGTAACTTGCAGGTACGGCAGGAAAATGCCGCTGATGGCTTCCGTGATTCTTCAACTGTTGTCGGGAATTGGGTGCGCCATAGTTCCTTGGTTTCAAGCGCTCTTGCTGATGAAGTTCCTGATTGCCTTGGCCACTGGAGGCACGATAATCACTAGTTTCGTTATTTGTAAGTCTACGATATCAATCATCGCTCGAGTTTACCCAAGATGAAAGGCTACGATCAATTATTTCGCAAGATCGTAATGTTCGTAAGAGTGACGCAATTTCCCTCCTCAACGTATGATGTAGATCTTGCTACGGCGACTTACCAGTACTCGATCCTCCGGCTCATGTCGGTGTATCTGCTTTAATTGCGTACCTTTTCAGGTATGGAAATAATAGGCACAGAGTGGCGAGCCGCCATCAACGTCTTTTACCAAATTCCCTTCGTGCTGGGCCACGTGTCGTTGGCGGGACTCGCGTTCTGGCTTCGACACTGGCGACATCTGCAGGTCGCCATCACCCTTCCATCTATTGTCTGTTTAAGTTACTGGTGGCTGATGCCCTAGTCGCCTAGGTGGTTGATAGCCATAGGAAAACAAAGAGCGGCCTGCAAAATCCTGCAGAAGGCGGCCAATATCAACAAAGTGGAGAACATCGACATCCCCGAAGTGATCAGGAAACATTGTTTGCAGCAGGTGAGAGAAAAGCGTGACGATTATTCCCCTCCTCCCCTGTCGAGCTGTTTCACTGAATCGCTGCCAATACATCGGTCGGTTAATCAATCAAGCATGAGCGCGTTACAGTCCACGTTAATTCGTCCCAATTCGCTTGAATTCCAGAATTTCAAGAAATCCGCGTTGGACCATAAGCCCTCGTTTCTGGATCTGTTTCGCACGCCGAACATGCGTGTCAAGTCACTGTCGATCTTCTTCAACTGGATTGTTTGCGGAGTGGTCCTGTTCGGCATGTCGCAGTACATCGGCCAGGTCGGCGGCGATATTTTCATCAACTTCGCAGTGTCCGGTGTCATACAGCTCCCAGGCTACTTCGTCGGCTGGTGGGCGATAAACAAATTCGGTCGGCGGGTCACCCTGATTTACAACAACCTCATCGCCGGCGTCTCCTGTCTCCTCTTGATCGCCATGCTAAACGGTGAGAGACCAGCGCGCGCGTGTGTGTGTGTGTGTCGCAAACGATCGCCATGTTAAAATATGCGACTTACAGCGGGACCTTTCAAATTGGACGTATTGTCAATCGAGTCAGCCTGAATTTACCAGTCGCACCTTTGCCGCAGATAGCGCGCGGGTGAGGCTGCTATTGACAAGTTTCGGTATCGTCGGTACGTCGGTATCGTTTATGGCGATCTACCTTTTCTCCGGAGAACTGTTCCCCACAGTCGTGAGGAACATCGGAGTCAGCGCGAGCAGCATGTTCGCCCGGCTAGGCTGCATCGTGGCGCCCTTCGTGGTGTTCTTGGTGAGTTGGCGTATTAATTGATTATCGTCCACGATCGCAAATTTATAGAGACCAGGGGCGAGATGCTGTTCGGACTTCTGCTCACGTACGTTCAGCATGAAATCGAGCTGTCGTCGTCGGTGTCGTGTCGCATGAACAGATTGTGTATTACTGTTAACCGTCTCTCGTGAAAAAAAGAAAAAAGTGACCGTCGAATGTACATATATAGATATCGCCATCACGGAGACTCGCGCAAACTGCCAATCTCCTTTTCCAGATTATTACCTTCGGACGTTGCATTTCAGAGCAGCATTAAAGCGTGGCTGCCGCTGGTCGTGTTCGGCCTCTTGCCACTAATTGCAGCCGCGCTGTGTCTGTTATTACCCGAAACTGCCGGATGCACCCTGCCGGAGACGCTTCAGGACGGAGAGGAGTTTGGCAAGTGAGTGAGATGCACCGCGGGCTGGAGTTTTACGGACGCAGGCATTGGAATGTACCGCGCGATTCATGAGAATCATATCGCGACCTTTCTTCGTTCGCAGGAAATGCAAGGCGTAGGGGAGAGACGCAGAAACCGAAGCGGAAGCGGCGTTCTGAGCGCTGAACGCCCGCGCGCCGCCATGACCGCTTCTTCACTTTTTATCTCCGACCAGTTACAACAAATCATGGCCGCGTGGCGCAAGTGTTATCGTTGACGGGCTAACATAAAGACGAGCGACGTTCAATCTCGCGGTGATTATGGAGCGATTGTATTTATCGTGTCAGTGGTGCGATTTTGTAACTCGTTATTGGAGTTAACGACACTTTCGTTAACTCCAATAACGAGTTAAAAAATCGCACCACAGTTCCGTAACACAAGGAAAGCAAGATAGCGTGACTAATATCACCTCCTCACGTTTGCGACTCGCGTTTCCCATAACATCATCATTGAAAGATGACATTTAGAGAAGCAAAAGAAGTTGTAGGTTGTTATATATTACGTATAAGACTGTGTATATCGGTGTTTTCTGAGATACACACAGATATGTTTGAAAATTACTAATTGAGACATCGAGGAGTTTTTAAGAAAAATATTTTTCATACTGCCAAGTTACAAAAATACTACTACTTTGTAAAACTCAATTGGATGTGTACGAATATAGAATGTCTTCTGTAAAAAAAAAAATACTTTTTTCTTTGCTTTACAAATTCAACACACTCGACGTGATCCCACGAATTGGTTTTCGACACGCGCAATTTTACTTACAAATATTATAATATTGCTTTGTGTGACAACCACGCCAATGATAAGCAGCGATTGAACATTTTACATATGACGTGAAGCATGTCGCGCAGTTGTCGCGAATTGCATCACACGTTGCTTTACAGGTAGTGATTGCTACAAGGAGATTTGTCTTTCGCACTTTTTCGAAAAACAAATCTCAGAGGTGACATAGATATGTAATTCTCAAAAGTGCTGCTTACGCGTTTGTCCTGCTTACGTGTTTGTCCTGTGATTCGATCTGACATTGCTAAGCAGCGAGACGACTACCACCGATGTGTGTGTGTGTGTAAGTTCGTATGAACGAGCCGTTAATATATAATTTACGATTGTCACGCTTGTTGCACAAATCATGTCTATATAATCTTTTGAGCCGGGAATTAAATATAGTCTTTGGGCATGAGACAGACAATTGCATAATTATCGATGATGGAGCAATTAACATTACCAACTTACACATAAATACCTAACACTGTAGTATTACATAAAGGCTCATCTTTCGCTTTGTACGAGTTTGTACTATCGCGATTGAAGAAATGAGTGACTCATAGCTGCTAAGAAAGAAGAGAATTAGATAATAGCTGATCGTTTCTGCGATAGACAGAGTAATAGTAATAAGCAGAACTCGGCTAATTTTCGAGAAATAATTTTTTTGGGATATATCCTCTTCCTCTTGTGTATATATATATATATATACATTTTTTTTGTTGGATCCGATATAAAATATCTCAGTGGTGAGATATATTTAAAAAACATAACATTTTAGAAAATTTCTAAAACATCGTTATAAAATATACAAGTTTGGAATTATAATTTTTTTTATTTATTTTTTTCCTTGTTCAAGCGCAATTTGTTTAAAAAGGAAAAAAAAAAGCAAATTTTTTTAAAGGGATGTTTTAATATTTTTTAAATATTATCTGTGAGGCATTCGTGTGTGAGGCAGGCATTTTCTATTTTAGATTTTGATTAATAATTTAAAGAGTATTAAAGGTTCATCAAAAGAAATATTAAAGAGAGTATTTTTATTATTATTATTTATAAGAGAGATTATTATTATGCGCTTCTTTGTAAGATAAACTTTCGCAGAAACATTTGTGCGTTCGCTTTATTTCGAGGTTTATTGGATGCTTAGCGGGGTGATTTATGTCATTGTTAAGATATGTTACACTACGGTACGAAATTATTACATAAAGCCATATGTAAAGAAAATAATTGGAATGGAGTAAAAGCGTGGTCGTTCACACGATAATTTGCAGGCACGTATTAATAAACACGACGTGCGCTATTATTATGATCTATTATTATGATTACTATTATTATGATTACTATTATTATGATCAAACGCAATTATTCGTCGAATAAACGTGCGTATGATTGTCACGCATGGCGGGCCATATTGAAAACACTTCCGCCGGTCGCGGATGGTATCATTTCAGACTTCGCAGTCCTAATGAAGATGCTACTGCGCTGTTTGCCGGAAAATGTAACACAAAAGTATTATTTTCAAAGAAAACTTTTCGGAATATTTCATTTTGAAAATGCTACCATCGGCCATCGTCATTTTTACGTTGTACAAATTTTGGACGTCCGTTACTTTTGTGCTGTTAAAAATCTAAAGCCTATAAATTATTATTCTCAAATATCTTGCATAAAATCGCATAGATAACGCGTGTAGATTTTTTCTGGCGTTTTATCCATGTGCTTCATCCAATACCGGATTTGCAAGCTTTTTCATCACAGACGCCACCAGCACACATACACCTGGAAGAATGTGTTGTGTATAAAAGCCTACAACACGGTGTATTACAGCGTCATTCCGTTTTATACCTTCCCGGGGCAGACCAGTCCACCAGTTCAAACAGTGAGTATCTCACACACCAATCTTGAATTAAGGTAATCTCCTCCTTGCGTAAATTCAGAGTATTGGGAATTTGCCCTTGGATTAATAGCTTGAACCTCGAGACTTTCCATGTATTAATATTTATACAGCGAGATTAATTATTATCGATACTTGTTCGACATTATCGCATTCTTTGTGAACAATTGCAAGAAACAAATTGATAGAAAATAGCACAATATGCATATAATTATCGCACATTTGTGTTATGAACAATGACTAATGACCTCGATTTGTATTCTTTGACATGAGTACTAATTCTTTTATATCATTCGAAAATAATGCAGCCAATAAATCAAGGCGATCGTCATAAGTAATCAGCGGTTACATAACTGCAATCACATTAACGTCGGACGTAAAAAATAAAGATTTCGTGTGACCTTCGTGAGAGATAGATTCTCTTATGGCCATCGTGCTGTTTTTTTCCTAAAACGCCATTCTCTCGTCATGTGTTTTGGTAACAATGCGACGTAAATGTTAGGAGAATTATAATCAACTTTATGGACATAATAACTCGCACAAATAGTTCTAAGAACTTGGCAATTCGTGTTCAAACGTGCAGGAAGCAAGAAACGTTCTCTCCATCTCTATCTGGCTCTTTGACAGCTTAAGAAGATTAGATTTAAAAATGTAAGCGAAACATCTCTGTGTATTTTCCGGAAATTCTGTAAAAATTGTCCGCATATTTCTATAATAATAATTGTGATCATTCTCTCGAGATCTTTCAATATATTGACGAAAAAGAAGAAAAAGTTAAAAATTAATTAAAGTTGTATGACTCAGTTTGCGATTACATTCAATTACTTTAGCAGCCTCTCGATATCTTCATCTACACAATGAAATCATAATTAATACGTAGACCGACACAGTAGTCTTAAGATTTAGTGATAGCAACTAGGATCTTTCAGTCAATGGCATTGTGTGTAGCCAACTCGCCGCGTTATATCGGCGATTCATGATTGTTGATTACTCGGGAAAAATGTCGATGATATTTTATCTTTGATTCGGAAAGGATAGCGCTTGTAACATAAAACGTGAAATCACGTACAGAAAAGAGATAATATCTGAGATATTTTTTACCGCTTCGTCGATAATCAGCAGTGGCGATACACGAATATACGAGGGTGGTCCGATAAGTACTTAGCCTACAAAAGAAAAACGAAAATTTTGGAAAAATGGCGATTTATTTCTCAACATAGTCTCCTTTTAGCTCGATACACTTGACGGGTTAAAGAAGTTGGAGCGATGCTCCAACTTCTTTAACCCGTCTGAAAAATACGTTTTCTCGAGGTCTGCAAAGATGACCTCCTCATTCGACTCAAATTTCTGCCCGGCGAATGACTTTTTCAAGTTTGGAAACAAAAAGAAGTCGCACGGGGCCAAATCTGGAGAATACAGTGGATGGGGCAGCAGTTCGTAGCCCAATTCGACCAATTTGACCGTGGCGAGGGCGAAGGTGTGAGCCGGTACGTTGTCATAGTGGAAGAGCACTTTTTTCTTCGCCAAATGGGGCCGTTTTTTCTGCAATTCGGCGTCGAATCGGCCCAATAATTCGGCATAGTACAGCCCTGTGACCTAAGTTAGGTTAGGTGACCGTTTTGCCCTTCTCCAGATAGTCGATATAGATCACACTTTGTGAATCCCAGAAAACGGTGGCCATCACCTTTCCGACCGATAGGACAGTCTTCGCCTTCTTCGGAGCACGTTCGCCGGGTGAAGTCCACTGTTTCGACTGTTCCTTGGTCTCTGGTGTGTACCAGTGGATCCATGTTTCGTCGACGGTCACGAAACGACGCAGAAACTCCTTCGGATTGCGCTTAAACAGCGTCAAACACTGCTCTGAAGTGGTCTCACAGTTGCGCTTGTTGTCCGGAGTGAGCAAACGCGGCACCCATCGCGCCGACAGCTTTCTCATGCCCAAAATTTCATGCAGGATATGACCCACGCGGTCTTTTGAGATGCCTACTGTCTCAGCTATCTCGCGCACCTTCAATCGGCAGTCTGCCAATACGAGATCGTGGATTTTTGACATGTTATCCTCCGTGGTAGCCGTTTTCGGGACACCTGGGCGTGGCTCATCAAAAACCGACGTGCGACCACGTTGAAACTCGTTAAACCAATTTTTGACGGTCGCCATCGAAGGAGAAGAGTCACCGTACACAGCATCCAAGTGCTCTTTGATTTCGCTGCGCGATTTTCCTTCCAAAAACAAGAATCGAATCACCGACCGATATTGCTCTTTTTCCATTTTTCTAAAATCCGCGGACACGCCCGCTTCCACACGCGGTCAAAACAAAACTACGAGTCCGATTCGGCTGAAATTTCGACAGTAGCCGTCTATGTAGCCGAGAATGTACTACACCAGTGCCCGGAATTACTTGCACGATCGGGCCGATTTCTGAGAGCTACGCCTCCTTACTTCCCCTTACCGCTCCAGCCCGCACGGCGGACCTAGAAACTGACAGTCGCGAGGCGCTGTCTCAGGCACGTCACATGAGACAGTCACATGAGACGCTTCACAGTTTAACATAGCTGAAACAAATTTATTTATTAAAACAACTCCATAGGCATTTTTTATAGTTTACTAATATAATATAGTCTTAATATTAATATAAATATATATTAATAGAAATATTAATATAAGTAATATTCTTAATATAACTATAATATACAGTATTAATGTATTAATATTATTATAAGTACAAAGTATAGGTTTTCTATATTATAAAAAAACAATAGGTTTCCACGTCATCCATGAGGTACTATTGCCAACGCGTTTTTTTTTAAGTAGTATCCCCTGTAGGCCTATTCCACTGAAGAAGAAAAATAATTTTGATCGAGAAAGAGAAATTGAAAAGAAGACGAATGTATCAAACCGATTTCCTAATCCTTTTGTGCGACTGAATAAGCGACGAGATATCTACATTAATATTAGAGGTGCTTGTTTGCATCAATGAGGATAAGGATGCATCATTTAAAGAAGAACGTTTATCTGTTTTTATATATTTCATCTTAGAAAAGGAGCACTCACATAAATATGTAGAACCAAACATAGAAGAAATACGAAGTGCAAAATTTATGAGATTGGGATAAGAACATGGCTTTAAAATTTTTAAAAATTCTATTCCACT